AGGGTTTCTCTGTGGCTTTGGAGGCTGTCCTGGAACTCACTCTGTAGACCAGGCTGGCCTCGAACTCACATAGATCCGCCTGCCTCTGCCTCCCGAGTGCTGGGATTAAAGGCGTGCGCCACCAACGCCCGGCTAGCATAATGATTTTTAAAAACATTACTTCCTTGCTCTTTTCTCTTTTTTTTTTCTAGATAGGGTCTCTTACTATATACCTCTGCTTGTCCTGGAACTCACTCTGTAGACCAGGCTAGCCTCAAACTCACAGATATTCACCTGCCAAGTGCTGGGATTAAAGGTGATGCTACTACCTGATGGGGGAAGTCCTTCTGTGTATATGTTGTCCTGTTGGTTGATAAATAAAGCACTGTTGGCCAATAGGGAAGCAAGATAGGTGGGACTAGGAGTCAAGGAGAATTCTGGAAAATGTAGTCAAGAGTAGGGAGTCACCATGTGATTCCGGGAAGAGAGGATGCATGAGGCTGCATCTTCAGTAAGATAAGACCTTATAAAAATATATGTATATTAGTAATTATGAGTTACTAATTAAGTCAGAGCTAACCAATGAGAAACCATAGCAAACGGCCAACAACTTCATAATTAATATATAGTGTTTTGTGTGTTATTTAGGGCAAAGACAGCAGCGGGACCCAGGCAGCTGGCAGGACAGAATACATGTTACAAATACCTGCTTCTTTTTCCTCTTTTAAGACAGCATCTCACATAGCCCAAACTGTCTAGGTAGCTCAGGAGCACCCCGAATGCCTGATTCTTCTGCCTCCACCTCCCAAACACTGAGATTACAGGCACAGGCTACACGCTCAGTTTATGCCATGCTGTGTCTCAAACCCAGGGGCGAGTGCGTGCTAGGGAAGTACTTCATTGAGCTCTACCCTCAGCCCCCTTGTTTTTCCTTCGTATTTGCTATGAATGGCTATGTATTCCCTAACAATATAGTTTGTTTCATTTTGGAGATAATGTATGTAATAATGCCATATTCTTTTCTATATATGTGGGTGTTAAATTATCTCACTTTACTAGATAATGCTAAACTTTTTCCAAAGTGATTTAAGTAAGTACCCAGGCCTGGTACTATAGTCCTTTATTCCAATGCTCTGAGTCAGGAAACAGCTACATTTGAGGGCAATCTGGGACAGTTATGTTTAAAAACAAAAGGTTTAACCACTAGTATTCTCATTATCTGTGTAGGGTGTTTGTTTTGAACCCAGGCAACATTTGGTATTTTTCAGGCTTTAATTTTAGCTCTCTGGTATGGACAATGCTACTTATTGTGGCTGTAATTTACATTACAAATGAAATTGAGGAAGTTTTCTTCTGTTTGTTGGGCTTGCAGATTTCTTTTGTGAACTGTTGGTTCAAACCTCTAGTCCACATTTGTAACTTATTGTTAAGGCTTTCGGCTTTGTTCTTTTTCCTGTGTGGTTCTTTCTGCATCCTGAAAACATCTTTTAAATAAGGATAAGTACACTGAGGCCACGTGTGGTTGACAGAAAACAACCTTGGGTCTCATTCCTCACCTTGTTTGAGAAGGGGTCTCCCATTGGGCTGCGGCCTGCCAGTTCTGCTAGTCTTAACTGGCCAGTGAGATCCAGTGATCCTGTCTCCCTGTTTCTAGAACTGGGATTGCAAGTGTACACTGCTGTGCCCAGTGTGGTTTACACAGGTACCAGGAGCTGATTCTGTACATGCTTGTTAGAAAGCACCTTACTTAGTGGGCCGTCTTCCTAGCTCCATTCTTCTTAGACAGGGTCTCATAAAGCCCAGCTGGCCTCGAACACTAGTTATCAGAGATGACCCTCCCACCTCAGTCTCCTGAGTGCTGGGATTAGCGGTGGATGTGGTAGCGGGCACTAATCCCAGTGCTTTGTAAATATTAGGCAAGCACTCTACTAACTGACCTGTATCCCCATCTGGTGGCTTGTCTTTTGATGAACAATTGTTGCCAAATGTACCAGTTTTTTCACCTTATCATTAGCATTAGCAGTCCTCACCTGTCTTCTGTCACAGACTATAATCCAGAAGCAGAGGAAGAGGCCAAGAGAATTCCAGGCCAGCCAGGACTACAGAGACAACCTCTCTCAAAAAACGAAAAGAAATAAGCACTTCTCTGTCTCGAATTCATGGATATATTCTTCTGAGTTATCTCCTAAAGCCCTTTATATTTACTCTGTAGTGTACTGGGAATAGATTTTTGTATATGATTTAAGGTAAGGATTCGATTTCTCTTTCTTCATATATAACCAGTTCTCAGAATCAGTGAGATGTTTATTATTTCCTGCTCAAAAGTCCAAACAGTCACACATCAAATTATCTGTATGTGTGAATCTGATCTGGGCTATTGTGATCCAGTGGTCCATCTGTCTCTATGTATATCAATAGTATGTTTTCTTTGTTGTTGTTTTTTCCTGACAGGGTTTCTCTGTGTAGCCCTGGTTGTTCTCGAACTCAGAGACCCACCTGCCTCTGCCTCCTGAGTGTTGGGATTAAAGGTGGACATCACCACCACCCACTATGCTTTGTGTACTGGATATTGAACTAGGCCCTCACACATGTTAAGCATGTAGAACTATACCTATGGTCTTGTCCATGTCATAGTATATGTCTTGGTATCTGATAGAGCTCGTGTTTATGTCTTGGTCCTTTTTGAGAATATCTTCTTAAGAATCAGTAAGATGGCTGGGGGTGAGGTGGGGTAAAAGGCATTGGCTGCCAAGCCTGATGACCTGAGTCTAGGACCATGGTGAAACGTGAAAGAGAGAACCTCCACACAGTCATGGTGGTAGATGTGCACCCACACTTACACTTGGCCTTCTCTATTTCCATGTACCTTCTGATTGAGGGATTTAAGATTTCATCTCACACTATAGGTTGGCCTTGAACTCATAACAACCCTCCTATCTTGGCATCCTAAATGTGGGTACGATGGACACCAGCCATCATGTCTGACTTCAAGATGTCCTGATACCCTCCATTTTTTACACTTCGGGATTCCTATCTTACCAACAATTTTGGTATTGGTTGAGTGATGCTGACTTAGTTTCCAATCTAGTTTTGCCTCTGTATGATTTTATCAAAACAGTCTGGCCTCATAGAATAAGCATTCTAAGTTTTCCTGTTTTCTGAAAATATTTTATAAAATTTAAATGATCTGCACTCTTTTTAGTTGTCAGCCTAGCTTTTAATAGCTGAGCCACCTCTCTAGTCCATAACATACAATTTAAAAGTTTTGTACAATTTGCCTTTACATTATTATTTTAGATTTTTTTCCTGAGAAATGATCTTATTATGTAGCCAAGGCTGGTCTCGAACTTGTGATCCTATTTCAGCCTCCCAACTCTTGGGATTATAGGTGTATGCTATATAGGTGTATACTATTCCTGGCTATAAAGTCATTTTCTTTTTAAGATTTTAGGCACATGCTTTTAATCCCAGCACTTGGAGGCAGAGACAAGCTAATCTATGATATTTAGGCCAGCCTAAAAACAACAAAAAAAGGATTTTTAAAAAAATCTTATGAATGGGGCTGGAGAGATGGCTCAGAGTTTAAGAGCACTACCTGTTCTTCCAGAGGTCCTGAGTTCAATTCCCAGCAACCACATGGTGGCTCACAACCATCTATAATGAGATCTGGTGCCCTCTTCTGACCTGCGGGCAAACAGACATATGCTATATACATAATTAATAAATACATGTAAAAAAAATCTTATGAGTTGGGAGACCAACTAGTCTGTAGAGCAAGTTCTAGGACAGTTAGGGCTACACAGAGAAACCCTGTCTCAAAAATCAAAAACCAAACAAACAAACAAAAAAACTACTTACTTTATATGTTTGTTTTTCATGCATGTGTACCTGGTGCCTCATGGCCCATTCGATTCCCTGAAACTAGAGTTACAGATGGTTGTAGGTGTTGGGAATCAAACCCAGGTCCTCTGCAAGAGCAACAAGTCTTTTCCTACGCCTCAGCCTCCTGAGTGATGGGATTACAGAGAAGCACCTGTACATCTGGCTCTACCTTACATTAAAGGGTTTCCGGAAGGATTTTTGTTTTGTTTTGTTTTGTTTGAGGCATGCTCTCAATATGTAGTAGTTCTGGGTATCCTGGAATTCCCTATGCAGAAGATGCTGGCCTGAAACTAAGGAGTCCACCTGCCTTGCCTCCCGAGACTTAAAAAGTTTTTTTAAGCAGGGTCTCTCACACTGTAGCTCAGGCTAGCCTCGAATTCAAAGCAATCCTCCCACTTCAGCCTCCTGAATGCTGGGATTACAAGTGCCCATCTAAACTCTTCAATCTTTAAATTTCCTCATCTGTCTCCGTTCCACTTAACACTTTTCTCCTGTCAACTGAGATTCAAGTAGTCAAAACGTAAGGATTACGTGTGGTAACCAAGGCCAGAAGTCTGGTCATGCAGTAAAGTTCTTACAATTTGACGGAAGAAAATCTTGAAAGTCCGATCAATACAACCAACCCCCACCCCCTTACCATTTGTTTCCTTTCGAGACAGGCTCTCACGTAGCCCAGACTGGCCTGGAATTTGCTATGTGGCTGAGGCTGGTTTTGAACTCCCGATCCCCCTGCCTCTACCTTGCAAATGCAAGAAAGGGCATGTACTCGAGGCTCCTTTACCTTTTAAACCTCTTCTTCTTAAACACATGAGTGGGTGAACTACCCAAACTATGTCTACCACTAACTTCGCCCCGTTTTCCTCCTTTCCCCCATGGTTTTCTTTCTGCGTCTTCTCGCCTGCCACTGACCCCCAAGTCGCCCAGAAACTCCGTGCTGCCCTCTGCTCCTCCTCTCCCCTCCTGCAGCTCCCGGGCGACCCAGGATCTCCCCCGGGCAGGCGTCTCTTGAGCGCACTGCATCCACCGCTCTTTCACCAAGAAGCCTTTATGCACAGAGCGGAAGCGCTCACGTCCCGGGCAGTCGGAAAGCGGAAGCAGGCCCTAGCCGCCCGGAACCCGCCTCCCGAGAGCGGAAGGGCGGCCGGAAGCTGCCCATAGAAGCGGGTGGCTAGAGCGGCCCTGCGGGAGGTGGCAGGAAAGGCTGGGAGCAGCTGCCGGAGGTGACGGAGCGGCCGCCCCGCCCCGTGCGCTGGAGGACGAGGCTTCCAGGTAGCGGCCGCGGTTTGTCCCAGGGTACGACCCGGCCTTGGGTGCGGACCCGCGGTTCCTGGGCTGCCTCTTTAAGGGAGGGGGTGGGGCCACGGGCGAGCAGCCTGGAGGTGAGGTCACGTGGCTGCGGGCGCGTGCAGGACACGAGTTCCGAGCTGGGGGTGCGTCGTCGTTAGGGTGGACACCATGTGCCACCGCATCCCTCACCGCCTCCTCTGTCTTGGGGCCCAATGGGGTGCACGTGGTGGGGCTTGGGATTAGGCCCCGGATTGGGAGACAGGGTGGGCGGGACAGCCAGGATGCGGCCGACTTGAAGGAACCTAGAGCTGGTTTTTAGACCCTCGAACAAGATTTCTCACTGCAGAAGTGGCTTAGTGCCTCTGGAGTGCAGTTCCCTGCCCTTGAGCTGACCCATCCGGCCGGTGCCAGGAGCCTGCACGTTCACGGTCCTCTTTCCCTTGCAGCTCCCGACAACTTGAGACCAGAGCCCCGCACCTCGGTGCAGCCATGAGTGCCGAGGTGAAGGTGACAGGGCAGAACCAGGAGCAGTTTCTGCTCCTTGCCAAGTCGGCTAAGGGGGCAGCGCTGGCCACACTCATTCATCAGGTGCTGGAGGCCCCTGGTGTCTACGTGTTTGGGGAACTGCTGGATATGCCCAACGTTAGAGAGGTGGGTTGCTCGCCCGGGAAGTCCACAGAGAAACTCGAAGAATGCCGGGGCCCATTTTGTAACCAGTAACCACTCAGGTGAACAGGGTATTGGTAATTAACCATCAATTACGTAAAGGTCTTCATTTCTCTTTGGAGATAAAGGGGGTCTGTAAATTTAATGCCCTCTCCCTCTACACACAGGCTTTTTGAGACAGGGTTTCTCTGTGAAGACCTGGCTGCCCCAGACTAGTAGTAATCATCGTCTGGCTTGGCCTTGGGCTAGCAGCAATCCTCCTGCCTATGCCTTGTGCTGGATTTGTTTGTTTTTCGAGGCAGGGTTTCTCTGTGGTTTTGAAGCCTGTCCTGGAACTCGCTCTTGTAGACCAGGCTGGCCTCAGACTCACAGAGATCCACCTGCCTCTGCCTCCCGAGTGCTGGGATTAAAGGCATGCGCCACCAACGCCCGGCTTTTGTGCTGGATTTTAATGTATGTCTTATTTTAAAATGTGGATCCCTTCACGAGTTTGCCTGTCAGTTTTGCTCAGAGACCATGCTGATCTTCTCCGTATCAGTCCATTTTTTGTGTATGTGCTGCCAAAGCAAGCAAGGATTTTGTTGTTGTTTTGGAGACAAGATTCTCTCTGTGACAGCGCTGGCTGTCCTGGAACTTGCTTTGTAGATCAGGCTGGCCTTGAACTCAGAGATTCAAGTGCCTCCGCCTCCTGAGTGCCAAGACTAAAGGTATGTACCACCACCCAGCTGAATTTTTAATTTTTAACCAAAAGTACAAGTCATTCAGAGTACTCCTTGTAAGTTCAGCCTGCCCACCAGTGTGATACCTCTTAATAATCATCACCAGCTCAGTAATGGAGAGGTACACCATTAATTCCTGCACTCAGGAGTCAGAGGGAGGTGGATCTCTGAGTTAGAGGCCAGCCTGGTCTACAGAGTGTGTTTCAGGACTGCCAATGCTGTTGCACAGAGAAACCCTGTCTCAAAAAAATCAAAACAAGGCGTGGCAGTGGTGGCACCCGCCTGCAGAGACAGCCTGGTTTACAGATCGAGTTCCAGGACAGGTTCCAAAGGTACAGACAAACCCTGTCTCAGAGAAAAAAAAATCATGTCACTTGATCAAAGAAACCTTATTAAAAGGCTCAGTTTTCTCCTAAAACAGTGATGAGAACCTTGACCCTAAGTCAGTGGATCAAGTGCTCGCCTGGCATTCCTGGGGCCTTGGGTCCCTTTTCAGAACTTTGGATGCTAAGGCGGGGGTGGGGGGGTGGGGGGTGGTCACAGATTTTGGGCCAGCCTATGCAATTTAGACTCTGTCTCAAAAAGGAGTGGGCTGTAGCTCAGTGAAAGAGCCCTTGTCTATAGCATGCAGGGCTCTTTATAGCTTGGTTCTCAGAACTGCAAAACGGAGAGACCTAAAACGTACTGCCTGTTACAATTACAGAAGTAAAACTGGGAAAGTCTAAAGTCTCCTAAAAAATGGAAAGATGAGCATATGCTCATGCTATGTTACCTCCCCAAGTGTCTAATATACGAACTCATTTAGATAATGATGACATTGTCTTCTTTCCAAAGGCAATGGTACACGGCTACGAACACAGCAAAGAGCCAGTCAAGAGCTTCAAGTATAGAGCAAATGGAATGCCAGTACTGTGGCACCAGCCTCTGTCCTGAGACGCTGGCAGTAGTGTGTGGCTAAACTGAGCTGAATTTGAGGAGGCCTCTGTGGTTGGATTAGAGGATGTAATGTCTTTTGACTTGCTGTCCACAGAAAACTGGCTATCTTTTGTTCCTGATTTTACCTACAGTGAACTAAAGTGTATCTTTAAGATAGTAGAAGAAACATTTCCCAATTGCCTTACAGTGTTTAGTATTCTGCAGAGTGTAAGAAGACAGGTTTGCCCTTCAAGCTTGTATTCAGTTAAAGAGATCAGATAATTGGATGAAGATGTGGAAGTCAGTTAACTAGCAAGAGTTTACTCTGTAGGCTAACGGATGCTGGGTCTCCTGCCTAGTTGAAAGATGGTGTTGGGTGAGAACTGCAGGGATGAGGTCATGTGCCAGGATGAGTGAGAAGTGACAGGAAATACTAGTGGATGACGTCAGACCACTTCACTGAGGACAGTCTGAAGCAGAGGCCACAGATTCTATGCCCTCTGAGGGCCAAAATAGCTTACGATAACTGATGTGTGTGTATGTGATACATCGAACACCCCCGACTTAGAGGAGGGATTTGATGCATAGCATAACAAGAGCTAGAGGTAGAAGTGAGGCCTTAGAGAAACTGTGTATGTTTGGAGATGCAGAGAAAGTCTGGGTGAACCAGCATGGGTGCTTTTGGGAAGGGTGGGTCAAAAAGTTGAGTTCAAAATAGCTCCTCCTTGTCACTTCCCATATGTTCTTGCAGTTGGCAGAAAGTGACTTTGCCTCCACCTTCCGGCTGCTCACAGTGTTCGCCTATGGGACCTATGCTGACTACTTAGGTAAATAGGGGCTGGAGCTGTGGAACTATGGAGACAGGGAAAGGGTGGTTTCTGGAGAGACGTGCAAGAAATTCCTGGGATGCCCCACTTAGATGCCTTAAATGAACCTGGGCAATCTAAGACCGTAATTGGTGCAGAAAACTTGTAAGAAGCTGCTAACATAAGATGCCTGGGCTTCTGTCCCCTTCCCTAGCTGAAGCCAGGAGTCTGCCCCCACTTACCGAGGCTCAGAAGAATAAGCTTCGGCATCTGTCCGTTGTCACTCTGGCTGCCAAAGTCAAGGTAAGTGACAGTCCAAAGAAAAGCCAGGCACACCCTGTTGTTTGTCATTGGGAGTCTGCACCAGAGAGCTGTTGACCTCACTCTGTCTCTCTATCTGAACTGAATCTGTTGCTGTAGTCATGGAGGCTGTAGTCTCTCAGTTTGAACCTAAGTTCTAGGTTACCATCTTTTGTGTTTGGTGTCAAAATAGCCTCTGGGATGCTGATGTCCTCTCTCATTCACCATAGAGTAGAGTCTCAGGCCAACAAAGCCTCAGAGCTAGAAATGGGGCTCTTCTCCTGGGAAATGCCAGCTTCGGTTAGCTCAGTAAGACATAGAGTGCACCTCAGAAGTGTTTTTGTGTCCCCAGTGCTCACTCTCCCAGGTTTTAGCTAGAGTTGAGTCCTGGTGACTTTTGCTGGAATCAGACTCATAGTTGAGGAAGCCTCAAAGGTGAGGCCAGTTTGTTACTTGGCTAAGTCCAAGTGTTAAACAGAGTAACATCCTCTGATGTCAAGCTGATGTAATGCAATATCCTTAGCTACTGCCAAAAAATGGTACAGGAAGATGTCATACTCTTTCACTGTGCTGTGGCAGGTGAGGCATAGTATGAGAGCATCTGTCATGTGTGTTAGGAGTGTCTTTGAGTCTGGGGTCATGTCTTATGTAATCCAACACTTGGGAGGCTGAGGGAGAAGGATTAGTGTGAGATCAAGTCTAGCCTGGACTACATAGTGAAGTCCAAGCCAGCCTGGGCTATAGAATGAGAGCCTGGGTCAGAATACATTAAAGAAAAAGAGAAGGAGGGAAAGAAGGAAGGAAGGAAGGATTGTCCTTTTCTGATGATGTTTTGAGGTGCTGATAGGTTTTGCTTTAGAACTAACATTTTCCAGGAAATGGTTTCCAGGTAGGAAAGGAGGGCATGTGGGAGTCCGCAGTGTGGAAAGAGGGAGGAGGGTTATGAAAAGTCCTTCTCTGCTTTTGAACCCCACAAATCCTGGTCTGACCCCTGGACCCAGTGTATCCCATATGCAGTGTTGCTGGAGGCCCTTGCCCTTCGTAACGTGCGCCAGCTGGAAGACCTTGTGATTGAGGCTGTGTATGCTGATATCCTCCGTGGCTCTCTGGACCAGCGCAATCAGAGGCTGGAGGTTGACTACAGCATCGGGAGGGACATCCAGCGCCAGGACCTCAGTGCCATTGCCCGAACCCTGCAGGAGTGGTGAGAATTGTCAAGCCTTAACCATCCCCTTATGCAAGCGGGAGAGAGCAGGGATTGGGCTGCAGAGGGTTAGTCCAATCAGAGAGAAAGAGACCAATACTTTCCTCTGGAAGCTTCTGAGGGAACAGGCTTGAAGGGGATGCTGGGTGCTAAGAGGCAGGATTGTTGGAGCAGTAATTGGGGAAGGGAATGTGAATGGTGGCCTTGAGGGTTCTTAATGAGAGGCTTGTCACTGTCATAGACGGAATTTAGTACAGTGGCACGTGACACCATGGGCCATGGATCTGTCTTTCAATCTTCTTTGTATCCCTGTCTAACTTCATTGTGATCTCACTTTGTATCCCAGGCTGACCTTGAACTCAAAATCCTTCTGCCTCTGCTTCCCAGTATTGAGATTAAAGGCCTGCACCATTATACACCACCATGCCTGGCACTCCTGTTTTGTGTGTGGGTCCTACTCTCATCTTTTTGTTGTTTTAATTTATTATTTTTAGTTGTGTCTGCGTGTGTGCGTGCGTGCGTGCGTGTGCGTGTGTGTGTGTGTGTGTGGTAGGGTGGGGTATGGAGATGGGGGCAGGTCCTCAGAGGCCAGAGGCGTCAGATCCCCTGGAGCTGGTGGTTGTGAGCCACCCGGTGTGGGTGCTGGGAACCAAACTCAGGCTCTCTGGAGGAGCAGTACATCTTCTCCACCTGAGCCATTCCCCGCTCCCAGTCCCACCCACACTGTACGTGTTACTCAGCTACTTCCTTCTCCCTTCCTATCCTTCTCCAGGGGTTTTCTGATGCGAACACTGTTGCAGCTGGTTCCCAGGAGCCTGGTGAGGGCTCCCAGCTTAGGCAAGGGTTTGAGTCCAGCTTAGAGGCTTGCTTTTAAGGTTTGGTTTATTTGTTTTTATGAGTCTGTGATCGCAGCCCTCTTCTGCTAACACTTACCTGCTCTGATGCCCACAGGTGCGTAGGCTGTGAGGTGGTGCTGTCCGGCATCGAGGAGCAAGTCAGCCGTGCCAACCAGCACAAGGAGCAGCAGCTGGGCCTGAAGCAGCAGATCGAGAGTGAGGTGAGCAGGCAGGGAACGGGGTCAGCTACGGCTCCCAGCCTGGGCGCCTGGCCTGTGCACGGGCTGGATGTGGCTGAGGTGACCTGATAGATAATCAGGGCCTGTCAGGTCCTGGACCTACTTTGCTATCTGCCATTCCTTTCATCCTGATAGGTTGCCAACCTTAAGAAAACCATTAAAGTTACAACGGCGGCAGCTGCTGCAGCCACTTCCCAGGATCCTGAACAACACCTGACTGAGCTGAGAGAACCAGCTCCTGGCACCAACCAGCGCCAGCCCAGCAAGAAAGCCTCAAAGGGCAAGGGGTGAGCCCGTGTGGGGAGCCGCTCGCTTGCTTCTGGGTACCCCACGTTTACCTCAGGGGCCTCAGCCTGGCTGCTCCACTTGCTTTAGTCATTTGCATGGGGTCGGGAATGGGGGTGTCCTCCAGGAATTAGGGGACCCCTTGCATCCCCTCTCTCTCTCTTCCCCTTGCCAGACTCCGAGGGAGCGCCAAGATTTGGTCCAAGTCGAACTGAAAGGACTTGTTTCTTCCCTGGGAATGTGGGGTCCCAGCTGCCTACCTGCCTACCCCTTAGGAGTCCTCAGAGCCTTCTGTGCCCCTGGCCAGCTGATAATCCTAGCTCATGACTTTCCATCTCCTCCACCCCCAAGCATAAGCCACGTCCTCTGTAGGGAGAAGGCCAGTACAGGTCACGTTCCGTTGGTACTTCTTACGTGTTCCATTGCTCTCCCCCTGCCACGCTTGCTCTCGTCTTCACTCGGCCCGTGTCACCCGCCAGGCTGGCGGTCCTGTGGAGGGTGCGGTCTCTTCGCCCCACAGGTGTTCTCTACCCGCCCACCCCGCATGCCTAATCTGCAGTTCCTCCTCCTCCTCCCTGTGCCTGTTGGGCTGCATCTGAAAAGGCATGGGGAGGGGTCCTCCACCTTCATCCAGCCTTAGAGTTCTGGAGCCAGTCGCTGGGCGCGTTCATCCCAGACCCCTCACACTACAGTTGTTTCTTGTCCTGTCTCATCTCCTTGGGCCTGGGAACACTGCTGCTTCAGTGACCCCAGAGCACCGGAACAGCTATTTTTGAGATGTTAAGAAATGGTTCTTTGTTAACTAGTCATCTTAGGAAACCCAATGGAAATCCTGGAATGATTTGTATTTCTTCTTGTGATTTTGGTGGGGAAGGGAATATAGATTGTATATTAAGAAAAAGGTATATATGAATAGGTCTATATATAACATGACACAGAAATAAATCTATGAAAATCTGTGTACAAAAATGCCAGGAACTGGGCCTCTTCTGTCTTTGATGTTTGTACACAGGGAGAAGATTAATCCCAGTCCACTCTAAAGCCGAGTGCTGGGAAGTGAAAAGAACCAGATACTGTTTGCAGACTCTTGGCTAGCAGCCAGGAGGCCTAGACCCTGGACAGATTGCTCCGTACCTCAGCCCGTGTTCAGAAGCAATGGGCACCTCCTGAACTCCACATGTCTAACAGTGGAGATGCAGACGGACGCCACTCCCTACGCTCCAGGACCTGCAGTGTAGTTGTTTCTGTTACCTTGTAGAGTTACAGGGGGAGCTGTTGGTAGGGAACTTGAATTTTCTCATTGAAAACACATAAAACTGTTAGCTTTGTTGATCTTTGGCCCTTTTGTCCAAACTTACTGTTTCCCAGTAAGTGTGGCAGGAGAGCAGCCTAGAGCACTGCTTGCTTCCGGGGATGCAGGTAACGGTGGCAGTTGAACCCTCACCCAATGCCAAGTGTTGTCTTTGAGGTGCCTAGTGGGTCTGGTTGACTGGGCCTGTTCTGTTCTCTAGCTGGGAATTTAGGACAAATTGCCTTTTTGAAAAACTTTTTGATAGGGATCTCTATGTAGCCCTGACTGTCCGTCCCTATGTTGAACAGACACTGGCCTAGACTCACAGAGTGCTGGGATTAAAGACATGCCACCATGCCTGACTATACTCTTAACTGCACCTAGCAGTCATTGGACTAGAAAGTCCTGGTGTTTTGTTTATTTGTTTGTTTGTTTGTTTGTTTGAGGGTGGTTAATTGTTTTGAGACAGTCTCGTGCATTTCAGGCTAAGGATGGCCATGAATTAGGACCTCCTATCTCCAGCTGAGTGCTGGGTGTGCACCACCAAACCTGCTTTGGCTATCACTCTTGGTTTCTCAGCTTTGCTCTAGATAAGCTACTTGATTCTCTGGCTTCGGAAGTAAACACCTTTTGTCCCAGGCCTCCAGTGTACAGAAGGTGCCAGCCTCTGGTGTTTTGAGCCTGCCCTCTGACCCATACCTATGCTCCAGTTTTCCTTTGGAATTTAGTCGTCTCCGCTCGTGGATGTTGGTTCCAGACCACTACTTCTACGTTTAACATTAACGCTCTAAAATCCCAAGCCGGCTTCGAACTGCCTGAGAAAGGGGCGTTCACGTCCCTCACGACACACTAATGCACTCTTACTTGGGTGCATTGAGAATCCTGCTTTCCAAGCATAAGGGAAGAGACACTGTTGCTGGGGAAGTAGTAAAGACTCAGCTGGTTTTTGTTCTTTGGGGACATCATCTTTCTATGTAGTCCTGGCTTTTTGGAAATTGTCTATGTAGTGGTTTAATTCACAAAGATTTCTCTGCCTCCCAAGTGCTGGAATTACAGGCATGTCACTATGCCTGTTGAGGGCTTGGGTTTGTTTGTTTTTGTTTTGTTTTGTTTTGTTTTCCGAGACAGGATTTCTCTGTATTGCTTTGGAGCTTGTCCTGGAACTTGCTCTGTAGACCAGGACTGGCCTAAACTCACAGAGATCTGCCTGGCTCTGCCTCCCAAGTGCTGGGATTAAAGGCGTGCGCCACCAATGCCCAGTGAGAGCTTGCTTTGTTTTGTTTGTTTGTTTGTTTTTTGGGTTTTTTTTTTTTGTTGTTTGGGGTTTTTGTTTTGTTTTTGTTTTTTTCCTTCGAGACAGGCTTTCTCTGTATTGATTTGGAGCTTGTCCTGGAACTCGCTCTTGTAGACCAGGCTGGCCTCGAACTCACAGAGATCCACCTGCCTCTGCCTCTGCTGCTGCCTCCCGAGTGCTGGGATTAAAAGTGTGTGCTACCACCGCCTGGCGAGGGTTTGGGGTTTTTTATTATTATTTATTTATTATGTATAGTTTTTTATCTGTATACATGCCTGTATCCCAGGAGAAGGCATCAGACCTCATTATAGATGGTTGTGAGCCACCATATCGCTGCTGGGAATTGAACTCAGGACCTCTGGAAGAACATGTAGTGCTCTTAACCTCTGAGCCGTCTCTCCAGCCCAAGGGCTTGGTTTTTAATCATGAAATTTGTTCAAAGGTTAAAGATTCTATGTGCTCAGGGCACTAGGGGAGTCCTCTAAACAAGAACAATACCACCTACACGCATACCCATATGTGCTGATCCCTCCTATGTTGCAGTCTTAGATGTCCAGCCCTGAATCATGGAAGTCCAGAGTTCATATACATGAAACATGACAAATGATTAAGCCAAGGGCTGGAGGAAGACAAGGCTCAGTGGATAACATGTTTGTTGTGCAAGCTTGATTGCGACTTCCAGAATCCACTGTAGATTCTGGGAGGGTGTGTGTGCTTCCTCCAGCACATGGGCTGTGAAGACAGAACACCCTGAAGATCATGGGCCAGCTAATCTAGCAATCACTGTGTAGGGTGGAGGGACTGTGCTCTGACCAGGCATTCACTATGGGGGAGGGGGGAGTGTGTGTGTGCTAACACACTCTTCCAAATGAGGTGGAAGGTGAGGGCTGGCCTAAGAGTGTCCTCTGACCTCCCACACTCACATAAAGACTTACAAAGGTTAAGCCAGGCAGATGCAGTGGTGTACTCTTTTTTGTTTGTGTTTTTCAAGACAGGGTTTTTCTGTATTGTTTTGGAGACTGTCCTGGAACTGGCTCTGTAGACTAGACTGACCTGGAACTCACAGAGATCGGCCTGCCTCTGCCTCCCGAGTGCTGGGATTAAAGGCATGTGCCACCAACACCCAGTCAGTTTATTCTTAGTTTGAGAGCCAGGGTTTCATGTAGCCCAGGCTGGCCCAGAATGTACTGTGTAGCTGAAGGTGACTTTGAATTCCTGGTCCTCTTGTTTCTTCCTCAAAGGGCTGGGATTATAGGTGTGCACTATCATACATACCCGTGGGATCTTGCTATATACTAGAGCCTGACCTGGACCTCCCTGTGTAGTATTTTATTTAAATGCTGTAGAGATCAGAACTGGAGAGATGGCTCAGTTATCAAGAGTACATGCTACTCTTGCATGGGACCCAAGTTAAGTTCCTATCCCCCATAGTAGATGACTTACAACTGACTAACTTTAGCTCCATGGGGATTCGATGACTGGCACCTGCATTCCCTTGAACTTATCCACACACCGATGCACACGTATCTCAGTAAAAGTAACTCAAGAAAATCTGCTGGAATCCATACATAAAAAGGCTACTAAAACTCGTAAGTGGTTAGGGAAAGTTTGTCTCCTTAGGTGGACTTAGTCTAACGTGAGTGGGTAGAACAGAGTTTTGGAACATACAAAGCATGGGGTTACTGCTCTGCAACAGATCAGCCTAAACTTTAGAGGCTTAAGGCAGCCTGTTAGCTAGGCGGGTGGTGCACACCTGTCATCCCGGCATTGGTGATGCTGAGGTAAAGTAGCTGCAAGTTTGAAGCCAGCCTGGTACCAGGCTATCCAGGTCTATGTGACAAGTCCCTGTCACCAAAAAAAAAAAAAAAAAAAATCCCCAGCATATTGTCTTTGTATGATAAGAAACGGGGTATAGCTGAGCTGAATTCTTGCTTCAGGGTTTCCCACAAGGCTACAATTTAGGTGTGAGCTATTGGGTTGAGTGTGACTCAGTGGTGGCTCACTTGCCTGTCACGGGTTTGATCCCCAGTGCCATCTAAGGAAAGGGTGTTAGATCAGACCATGGCTTTCTCAAGGCTCCAGTGTGGCAGACTTGCTTCTAGACTCAGTGGTCAGCAGGAATCACTTCAGGGGTGATTGTACCAAGACACTGACTGATGGTGAGTGACCACTCGGGAAACCCGCACCATCATAGCAAGAACCAGAAAGACTCCACCAGCAGGATGAAGTCACAGAGAGTGATGGCCTATCATTTCCACCACTGGACTATCCGGTCTATGCCCAAGAGGGTGGCGATTTTTTACACAGAAAGCAGGGAGCATTGGCAGCCATGATGGAAATTCCCCAGCAAAGGCAGTATTTGTGTAGCAGTGTTTCAAAACCACCAGCATCAAAATCCCTGTGCTAGTCAGGCAGTGGCAGCACACACTTGTAATCCCAGAATTTAGAGGCAGAGACAGGCAGATCTCAAAATACATTTAAAACATAGCAGTAGCCAGGTGGTGGTGGCACATGCTTTTAATCCCAGCACTCGGGAGTCAGAGGCAGGCGGATCTCTGAGTTCAAGACCAGCCTGGTCTACAGAGTGAGTTCCAGGACAGCCTCCAAAGCTACAGAGAAACCCTGTCTCGAAAAACAAACAAAAAACCCTGTGCCAATTTTTATCAAACTAGATTATATAAATCTTAAAAGGGAATTTGAGATGGCTTAGTGGGTAAACTTCCCTCGTGACTTCATACACTCATGTGTACATGGTATGAACATGCCCACACATGTCCACATACACTAAATATGTAAGAATCTCCAGGATGTGTTTTCTCTTCCATATGTGGCTCTCAGTTCTAAGCCGTGAAGTCCTGGGTACGAAGCACCGTTGCACAGGTGAGTGACAACATGCACCGACTGAAGGCTGATGGACACTTGAGGGCTCTGGATAATGGGCAAAATTTCAGCCACCATATGGGAAGGATGACCAAGGTGAAGCGAGACAGAACTTGTCTTTTGATGTTCTCCAGTGCGTGATTATGCATTTGATGCTCTCCAGTGCGTGATTATGCATTGAAGGTCCATGAGCTAAGAAGTGCTGGATGATGAGCTAAAAAGTGGTTGACTGGGAAAGCCACATCTTACCTAAAGTTATAAAAACCGGCCATGGCTTTGAACCAGACTAGAAGCTGAGGTAGGAGTGAACTGATGAGGGAAGGTAACTCCGAGGGAGAAGAGCAGTTCCTGGACACAGGGTGTTCGCCTGTGGCCCGCAGCTCTGAGAAGTAGGAGACACATGGGGGCAGGATGTACAGGACGTTCTAGGCTTTGTTTGACTGAAAACCCGAGATAATACAGTAATACACAGGTTTGTGTTAGCATTCTGGGCATTGGACTTTG